CCCTTGAGACTCTCCCAGTAATATTGTGATATCATTTATTTTCCTTAGCATTTGAATTTGCTTTCTTCTATGACCGTGGAAGTTCTCTAAACACTTGGGGATTAAGCGACTGAGCTTCTGAGCATAACTGTATTTGTTTAAATTCATCCTTTCAGCATAGAGAACCTAGGCTTCCTCTAGAGCAGATGCAGAGAAATCTAAACCTATAGTGGCAATTGTCAATGCTAAGTGCTCCCCAGGGTCTGCATTGTCCCCTCCTGAGAGAGAAATCAGCTGAGCTCCTACAGTAGAGGTAGAAGCAACCTAGGCCTGTGGGATCAAAAGAATCTTCCTGTGTTCTAAAACTGCAAGGTGCTATTTGGTGTGGCACCCAGAGATGAATCAGACATCATTCTTCAGGCACAGAATCTAGGACTCTGGAACTTGCTGCAGGCTTCAGGGAGATCTTCTTATCAAGAAGTAATTTGTAGTCCAGGCATTTGAAGAATGAAACTGAGACATGCCCTTTTTTGGGTCTTTTTCTTCTATAGCATTGCAGCAGCAAATGCTATTCATTTTTAGATAATGTTCAGTGACCAGAACACATTTAGTTTCTTGTATAGTATGGTATGGAAGAGAAGAAATATTCATGCTTCAGTCCTAGACTGCTTTTGGGTCAGACCATCTCATTGTCAGGGAGCAGAAGTGTTAAGAGCAGAGATAGAACTGATCAGTTTTCAGGTTCACGTTCCTCCTTCTTCCTCCTACTGTCTTTTTAGCTCTCCTTCAGAAAGTCTGTGGAGCAAATCTAGGACTTAGTAGCCTCCTACTGGCATGTTGAATGTCAGGCCATCTATGACTTTCAGACCAGATCTTACAGTACTTATTTGCAAGGCATGCAGGGAAATTTGGGTAACTCCTGAAGTGGTGATGTTATCTTTTGCCTCCTTTTTAGTGGGTTTTGCAGTAGTCTAACTAAACAAGCCCTTGAGACTCTCCCAGTAATATTGTGATAAAATTCATAATTCATAAAATTCACTTGCGGAAAATAAACAGATTATACAGACTGAGAAGAACACAATCATAGGTTTAAAAACCTGCATGGTTCATAAATGAGGAGCCAACTTTTTCCTGGCAGAAGGCACAAAATTAATCCCCAAGGCAAAGGGTTGAATTAAGAGTGACATTTTCAGAGTGTAATTTGTGCAGTCCAATGAAGTAAAAGTACCAGGTTATTAAAACAAACATTCTCTTAAATAAGAGAATGAACTATCTTTCTCAAATTTTGAGGAAAGACTGTTAAGACTGACAACCAGTAGCCATGTTGTATCTAACATCAATATTTTTCCCAACCTGACACAAAATTATGGTAACATTCTTCTATGGTATTCTCCACCTGTAGATTTCAGGATGCTTTGTATCAGGAAATAAAGACTAACTGACACAGTGAAGAAACTATGGCAGGCATTCAATGCCAAAATCATACACAGTTCAGGTACAAGACTGCAAGCAACCTGTGAAAGAAAATAGAAGTGGATCCTGGTTGGATGGGCAGTATGATGTTACCCATACCATATGGGTCTTGATTCTTTCCAAAAGAAGAAATGAACAATGACACAAACAGGAAGAAATTTTATGATGCTCCTGGATTTTGGAATACTACCCTTTCCATCCTATACAAAGAAGGAAATGTCCACAGCTTTGAGAATGACCTCATTAATGCTGGAAATGTGAATGCCAGGCTGACTCAAACAAATTGCATCCAGATAACACACACACTAACCTGAGTAAACAGGTGTTTACACATAGTTAGAAGCCAAGGCTCTTTTTCTGACGTTCACAGGCATAGTGACAGTCTGTTTTGGGAATAAATAGACTAACCCAAATTTAGCCCAGAAGCCACTGTGGAGTCTTTATTCAGCATTTTCAGGACATTGAAACGTTCCTGTGAGTATTGCTTTGTTAAAGCTGTTCAAACTTTTATGGGTAAATGAACAAAAAAGTACTGCCAATGCTTAACAGGCCACAGGAACTAAACCAATTATCCCTCTGGTAGTAGTTCCATGTGTACATCCCAAAGGGAATACTGGAAAGAAACCTAACAAATTAAATAAACGAAATGTTGTATCTCTTACAAGCCCTCTGCAGAGAACAGGGCTGGTCGACTGAGCCAGACTCAGTAAGGCCATTGTTGTAGAGGAGTTTCATGAGTCACTGGTTCCCTGGAGGTTCCTTGAGATACCACAGAGGCAGTTTGTCCCTTTAGGATAGGAAAGACCAGATGGTGCAATAACACATTTCCAGCAGTGCCCTAATCACAGTGCAAAACACTTATTTCAAAACAAGTGCCACAAAGTTGCTGAGAATCCATGCTCTATTGGTAGCACAGCCAAAACTTCAGCATGTTGTTTTTCTTGATCATTCTTGTCTTCCGCATTTCTTCCTTGGAGCTTCAGCATTATTTACCAGGTAGCAAGAAATAATGACTATTCCTTCCATACTCATTCATTTTGTTCCATGTCTCCTCACCTAAAACAAGCCCTTCACTAGTCTGTCTATCTGCTTAAAGCTCAACATACACATGAGGGACTTTGGAATAGGGCCAAGATTCAAATCATCTTGTTGCATTAACCAGATCAAAACCCTTTTGCTATACATCAAAATCCTGAGCTATCTAGGTCAGAAAGGCTTTTTATGTTGTGATTTCCTGCTTAACACCACCACTACAATTCAGCTGGGAGGATTTAAATGTCTGTTTTACAAAGAGAAGATGCAGCTATCAATGCAAGTGAACAGGGAAGATGAGTTAATCCAATATCACTGCACCATCTCCCAGCTGTTGCAAATAGTGTTTGGCTGTGCTCAAAAGACTCTAAACTACTAAAAATATGGCTATTAGAGATGGAACTTCCTATAAAGCACTCTTAATAATGAAAAAGTAAATCTTGACTCAAACCTGGATAATTTAAGCACGTGGGTTGGATTTAATTATATGACTATTGTAGAAAAGGGATCAAAGAACTGTGTTCCAAAAGTAAACAGATTGTGGGAACATTTTGTCACCACACACAGTCCATTAATTTGAGTAGACAGGGTACTACTATGTATCACACAAATCCAGTGAGACGGGAATTCCTAAAAGTTGCATTACCCTGAGTTCCACAATCATCATGGTCTCTTCACACTCTTCAGTGCAACAATAATGTCCTAGTGTGACTGAACAAATAATTTCTTAATAATTTTCTTATAATGTATTTTAAAAGACCTAAGACTTTCAGTTAAATTCCTTGCAAAAAATGGAATTAAAACATTATAGTTAAGCATGCCAACATGAGAAAAAGACAAAGCTAAAGGTTTCTGTTCAACATTTCATATTGTCATTAATGTATTGTCACATCACATATAATTTATTCATGGCAACCTTCAGTCTTTCTGCAAGAAATGAGTGAAAATTATAGGAATAAGGATGCAACTCACTGCATCTGAGCACAAATAAAACCAAATGTGGATTGTCTTAAGACAAGTATGGGACAAGTCTTTTGAAAATAATTTGGCCAGAAAAATCAAGACTGAGTACATTTTTTTTTTTAAGAATTCAGCTATTTTTTTTTAAATAGACATGTTTAGTGGAAGACAGCCTTGCTCACCAAAACAGTGCTGAAAATAAACTTCCATCTGAAATTTTCCTAGGTTTCTGCCAGTTTGTATCTGAGCTCTCCTGCCAGCTCACTGTGCACTTCCTTAGAGTCTGAGTCTTAGGAGTTTGAAAATTTGTGCCTCTAGACACACAGACTGCTTTGTAAGTTGTTATCCTTTGTAAGTGGCTCTCTTTTGGGGAGAATACAGGTTTTCTCAAAAAAAGGAAAAAAAAATATTTAGTTCTGAAGTTGCAAAAGTGTTTGGAAAAGTTGAAATATACTGAACAATGGAATTACCTTTTCCTACCCATCTCTGCTTGGAAGTTAATGCTTCCCTTTCAGTTCATATTAGTGAGAGAAGACAAAATTGAAATGAGTGGATAAACAATTTTCCCTCTAGTCATCTGCTTATATGCAGACATCTCAATAATGTAGACAGAAAGGACTGCTTCAATCAAATTGCCACAAAATAAGTGAGTGAGGCAGGAATCTACCCACTGAAATACAAGGAAAAAGAAATAATCTTTGAATTCTATCACACTTACTGTTTACATTCTGACAGTTCAGCAGACAGAAACCCAGAAAAAACCTCATCAGTCTTTTCAATGTTCATTTCTGTGGATACTGCATACATGTCACAGAAAAACAAAAGCTCATTTTCTATGTCATAGATATATATATACACAGATGTATGTAAGTTGTCATCAAAAGAAGCTTTGTTTAAATTCAATTCTAGCAGCAAATTTGAAATAATGGCTCAGTCTGGTAAGGAAAGGTTTTATTTAGAAGATTTTGAAGCGGATTTGTAATAATTCTGAAGGGGAAATAAAAAATCCTGGACTAATCAACACAATATTTCACATATTGTTTTGCCTTTCTTATTAAAAGAAGTACACCTGCTATGTTTGTTTATTGCTCAATGAAACATGTACATTTATACACTCAGAGAGAGCGAGCAATGCTGTGCCTGACATGGTCTAAGAACATGAAGTTGGAGGTCTGATGGTTTGTAGTGAGAAATTATACATTTAAATGGTACAGATGAAAATGCAAAATCATCCAGGAAGATGGTATACCCAGAAGATCAAGACTTCAACCTTAAACATTATAAAAAACACTTCAGAAAAGTATGTAAAAAAAAAAAAAAAAAAGAGCTATTGTGGAAAAAATAAGCACAGAAATTTAGGAAATGTAAAAATAAAAGTATGAGATCATAATTCTAATACCAAGCCTGCATGCATCTGCTATGCTCACTTAACTTGACTTTGACTGGTATGAAACACTTTGAGAAATGTCAACATTACCTTCCTGGTGAGTCACCATTCTCATCAAACAAGATCATGTCCCCGGAGACCCCAGTAAAGTTAGTCTTCATGAGGGATTCCAGGAGCTTCCGACCATCTATGGGCTTCATGGCATCACAGAGGCCCACGTAACCAGGGCACAGTGACATCTGCATGTTGTGGAGCCCGTACGCCATCGAGTATATGGCGTTGATGACAAAGCCCATCTTGGAGTCCTGAACGTGCTGTGTCCTCAGAGTCATCTGTCCTGGAGGGGAACATGGCAAAAGGAGTGGTTATTGCATGGGGCTGAAAAAGGATCAGATCTTCAGACATCTGTTGATGGGCTGGTTATTAAAGGTGGAAAAAGTCTTTTTTAAGGCTCTTAGACAGCTTATGGTAGATTCTCTTACTGGTACACACACTGACCATGTTAAAGAGAGAAAATAATTAAATAAGTTCCCTTTAAATATTTTACTACCCAGCTGATGTAACTCCACACCTCATGTATGTTGTTTTTCAACTGCTTCTCTCCCACGTTGATTGTGGGTTTTTTTTACATGTGTGTCATTTACATGAAAATACAATGTTTTGGGGAATCCAGGAACTTCTCACTGAGTGCAGAAATCTCTCCAAAGTCTCAGAAATCTTTTGTTGAGGTATAAATGTTAACATGAGGTTTCTTCTGTAGTGATCTTTTAGACAACACTTTTGCTTCAGAAACATAGGAACCAATCCTGTGCAGACTGTCCAAGGTACTGTACCTTTACTGTACCAGAAATTCCTGTTCCTCTCTATTTACAAAGTGAGGTTAATGATGCAATGCAGATGAATGTATTAAAATGCTGTGAAGGGTCTGATGATATGGGTTGAGTGTTGACTCTTGTCTGCTCAGCCAGAGTTTGTGAACCCTATTTTGTTTGGCTTTTAAAACATAATGTCTGAATTCCTATTTTCTGTTTAAGCTTCTGTGAAATGCACAATAAAAATCCATTCAGCAGCACCCTGAAGACCTTATTTTTTATAACCCAGTATTATTAATAACACATATTTGCTTTGTTGGCAGCACAAGTTCAGATTAAAAAAAATAATAAAAAAAAATAAATATATATATATATCCTGGAGGCTTTCTGCCTTGTATGTCATCAGCAAAACATCCAACTACACTCCAGACACCAGACCTTTAATACTGGGGAAGTAAGAAGGGTCAGAGACAAAGCAGCTGCATCAGTGGTGCTGGGAGTTTGTCAGACACCTGGAAAGATTTGGCTCTAGAGGGAGCACAAACATAGAGCTCTACTAGGAGATTTGTTCTTCTTTTATCAGTCAAGCAGCAGTCCCTAGGAGCTAGGGAGTCCCATGTGTGGGCATCCAAGAGCAGGGGGAATGCAAATAACCTTCTCTGGCCACTCTATGGGATTCTGCCCCCACTGAGGCATTAGCAAGTGGCAGGGATGGAGCTTACACCTGCCTGGCTGAGCTGCAGGGGCAGCACAATGTGAGAAGCAATAGATGCTACCAAAAGACTTGATGTAGTATTTTTTTTCTTGAAAGAATTGAAGACTAATATATGGTTCTCAGCGTGGCACTCATCTAGTTTAGCTATATCCATCCAGAACACACTCATCCACTCTGATGTCTTGGCACTATTTGTGGAGATTAATAAGAAACTCCAGCTGGTGATTCGTTGAGTTATAAACCAGGTGCACCTACAAGCTCTCCTTTCTGGCCATGAACAATAACATCACCATGCAGCTCTAATCACTGAAACATAAATGAGTACTGAAAACATCAGGAAGGTTAGCAAAGATACTTAGTTTGAATTGAAAATTATTGCAGAGGGGTCGGCAAGTGAATGAGAAGAGTGAGAGATCCCTTTTTCTATTTTGCACAGAAGCTGGGAATCCCTGTTCCAGTCAATCTCAGCAGAAGTGGTTAACATTTTGGATAGTTAAGTGCTATGAATTTGAAATGTCTGTAGTAGAATAAAAACCCAGAAACAACACACAGCGTTGCTCATTTGCTCTGTTCTACCAAGGTATTGCTTTTTCCTAATTAAAAATAACAGGCATAAAAAATGCAACAGTGGAATAGATGTAAAACCCATATTAATTGAAATTAAGTGGAAAATTGATCAAGCATATTACCTTGCAATACACAAAACTTGGTTTAACCAATTATTCATCCTCAAAATTAACAGCTCATAAACCCCATAGTTAATTATAGTAGCCATTAGAATGAATCAGGTTTGCATCAGCAGTAGTATTTATTACAAAACAACATTTCATCTGCTTTATTGCATGTGATTTCTTCACAATTTAATAACTTAATTCTTACAGGAACACTCTCCACAAGGCTTTGTGCTTCAATTTTGTAGAATTATTGTTCTGACTTCCTTTAAACATTGAATCTCATTCAGTTTACCTGACGATTTGTAATGAGGCTGCTTAGCTCTTCATAGAGCTGCTGGCAATTGTCAATGGAGTTGTGAGGGAATTAGCTGTTGTGAGAATTTTAATATATCTCCTGCATCTGGATAAAACATTTCCCTGAGATGTTAACTGTCTCACTTTGTTATGTAGGGGCAAATCCAACCTGCCAAGTCTGACCATCAGTTTACAGTACCTCAAGACTGTAGTTAAAGGAAACATCCCCAAAAATGAGACAAAATAAAATTTTTGCTCTTTAATACACCGTCTTAAAAAATTACACTATTAAAAAAAATAGTTAAGTTTGAAAGTAACATTCAACCCATTTCACAAGGCACTTAAGCTTGTCAGACTTGAAGCATGTAAGTGAGGCTGTTTACCTTAGGGTAATACACAAGCTATGGTCTAAACACACGAGTTAAAAGGTAGTGTCTGAGTCAGAAAAAAATTGAATTTAAATCTATCTCTAAAATAAGTATGATTCAGGCAGCCTTAAATACATTGTTCACTTTAACTGTTAGTGCTTACTGTCCTTGCTGGAGTTTAAACACTTATCCTTACATTAATCCACAATTGCTGTCTTCAGTCCAGAACGTTTCCTGACACAGATCATCACGAGATGGAGAGGTGGCATGGATGAATTTATTGATGATGACACCAGAAATTAGCAACGTAATCATCTTTACAGACTAAACTCTTAGTCAAGAATAATGAAAAATATAATAGAAGTTGAGGATTTCCTACAAAATTACTGGGCAGAGAATAAATATCCACAGACTATAATCCATATGCTTTTTAAAATATCTGTAGTAGAACATATGTTCTATTACAGTAAAAAACCTCTTATCTATAAATAATCTGTTTTTCTCTATCTTATACAGTGGCATATGAGAAAAATTTGTAAAGAAGGAGATAAAATATGTCATTTTCCTGTGGGCTGGGGAAAGGCAGCATTGCCTGTTTAATGTTGGCATGTCAGGATAAGCAGGAAATGTTCACTCGAATGTTTCAATTCAATTCAGGTCTGGATTTTCAGAGCCAGCCTCAAAACTGTTCCTGCTCACCGAGCTTTGGTTTGGACTTAGTGTCACAGTTTCAGCGCAATGTATCAAATGTCTTTCAAAAGACAGTAAAAGGGATTAAGTGCCCCAGGAAAGCACATAATGCACCACAGCTGAAAATGGGTGTTCAAGCCTTAGGACAAGGCTACAAACAATTTAGGATAAACCTGCCCTGAGCTGTGAATCTCTCTTTGGCCCACAGGGTTTGCAATTAGACTCAGCAACACTCCCAGTTTGCTGCACACAGCAGCAGCTGGAGGTACAGAGGTGACAACGTTGCATGGGCCAGATACAAAACTGCATTTTGCAGATCTCCAGTCAATTCTTATTGTAATTCTGACAGCCATTAAGTATCCTTCCTGTGGTAGGACTGAGCAATTGTTTTTTCAGGACATAGCTAATTTTCCCCCAAACATTGTTTTGAATAATAACCAAGCTATTTATAAATCTGCTGAATTTGGTGATTATGCCTAAATGATTACAGGAAGTAATCTGTACAACAGTACCTCACAACCAAAAAATACTCACACTGCTTCATGGGAAGTACTGCAAAAATAAGAAGTCTGCCTCCTGCCATGGAAGTGTACAGGGCAATGAAGAGTGCAAGGTGAATCAAATCGTACCTAATGAGGGAAGTCGGACAGTACTTGCAATCCTAAATGATCAAATGTTGTGGAATTCTCTGAGAAATAATGGAATCTCAGTGGCTAGAGTATGTGAACAGATCCCTCAGTTCTGTTCTGCTTATTCCTTATTCATTTTTGTCCAAGTAATTTTTGTAAGTAAATAAGGGCTCATCCCATTATTTTCCAAACTGTGAGATCCTAAGTTCCAGTTTGAAGTCACATCACCATTTTTGTTCACGAAGTATCACACAGGCAAATGCTGTTCATTCTTTAGCAAGTAAAAAAAAAATACCTGTCTTTTAGTTTCTCATCTAGCCTTATTTCCTTTCTACTACTTCTTATCTCCCTTCTTTCTTTAGACATAATATTCCTCAAAAAAGAGACTACTTCCTATTATCTTCCTGCTTTTCCTCTGCTTAATGCAACAGATATGTTGTTGACTGGAGTATTGAGGTGCTATTGCACTGTATCTGAAATGAAATTAAAATTATCCAGGATTTCAAGGATTTTGGTGGAAATTTAAGTATGTAAATATCTATCCTATAGATCATTATGGAAATATATATATATTCGATTTTGCTGCCACTGAGTAGGTGGTTTATATCCATGCTTTTTCCTTCTTAAATATATATTCTGTATGTCTGAATTAATATGTATGCTCCCAGCTTTCTTATAAGACTGTGAGAATACCAAAAGTGAAGAAGAGTCTGAGAATGATAAAAAATCAGTGTTGTAACCTACATCCTTTCTGACAGCACTGTGACCTGGTTTAGGACACTCCAGCAATATTACAGCAGAGGATAAATGTGGGCTATCATAGAATCATAGAGGAGTTTGGGTTGGAAGGGACCATTAAAGGTCATCTTGTTCAGCCCCCCTGCAGTGAGCATCTTCAAACAATGAGGTTGCTTAGAGCCCTGTCCAACCCGATCTTCAATGTTTCCAATTATGGGGCATCCACAACTTCTCTGGGCAACCTGTTCCAGTGTTTCACCATCCTCATTGTAAAAAAACCCTGTTCCTTATATCTAGTCTGAATCTATCTTGTTTTAGTTTAAAACCATTACCCCTTGCCCTATTGCAACAGGCCTTACTAAAAAGTCCACCCTGCCTTTTTTTTATAAGCCTACTTCTGGTACTGGAAGGCCACTG